ACATCTTCAACAGTAATTTTCTTCAGCCATCTGACACATACTTGTAATTCTATAACAATTATTTCAAGCTTCTACTCTGTGAAAGCCAACTTCAAGCACACATTTATATTTTAGTCTCTTTAAAACCTGACCCTCTTAATCACTATCTGTATGTCTGTGAGTCAGGACAGCACTAATAATTTTATATATATAATATATATATTTATATTAGTTTCGTATCCTTTACATGATCTTGCAAAACCAAGCCTACCATTTTTTTGGCTGCTGTGGTTTTCTAAGAAAATTAAACGTTTAGTAGTTTGCCACTGCTTTCTGAAAGGTCAGATCTCGGCACCACTGTCGAAACCAAGGTAAGACAGCTGGGATCGAACCCGGCACCCCAGCATTATGAAGCGCATTTGCAACGCCTAAGCCACAGATGGTGTTTTATATATATATATATATATATATATATATATATATATATATATATATATATATATATATATATATAGAGAGAGAGAGAGAGAGAGAGAGAGAGAGAGAAGAGAGCATTGTCCAACTGGCATGTGTGATATTGTTTACTTTTAGTTTCATAACTTATACATAGACTGCTATACTAGGACATAATAATAATAAGAGATATGATATACATATATATGTTTTTAATTTAGAACTTGCAGTTTCGCAGAAAACATTTAAACTGTAAAAAAAATTATAAACGGACACTTCAAAAAAATTTTTTTTAATTTTATACAATGTTTTAGCATTATTTGTATTAGAGTACATAAATGTTCCTTTTGATCAAATATTAATATGTTTATGAACAGAGTGGTGAGGTGTGATTGTTACTGCAAAATATTATTATACTCTACCGTTTACCAACTAACAAGTTGTATGAATAATATTGCAATACTGCAATACATGCATGCTCGTATTAGTTACATTACTGTTGTTATATTACTAATAGTATAAGGCTGCAACTCCAATATTTCATATTGGCATAAACTGAATATGAAATGTGATGAAAGATAAGGCTAGTTATATTTCGGATGTTAATGAGTGTTTAAGAGACATGCATTTTTTATGTTACCTTGTTTCAAACAAGCTACACAAATACTGACAATGCCGCTGTCTACCTGTGTTCGTCTCAAACCTACCGGAAGTTCATACCTGAGTCTACAAACAATACACGCCTACTTTCAGTTGCCCGACTACTAGACTATATATATCTGCATTGTTGAAGGGTGTCTTTCTGTGTCGATCGATCAGTTTGTCCCTCCGGGATGCTACCTACGTATTATCATACCATCCTGAGATTTAAAAATGTTAATGTGACCAACAAGGTGGATCCAAGATTCCCTCCAGAGTAGTTATATTTAGGGCACACTTAACGGCTGCACCAGCCAGGTTTAACCTACAGCCCAATTGGGGTTGTGATTTGAAAGATCGATCGTCTACACCTCTCCTCTAAAGTTTTACCATCCCATCATGAGATTTTAAAAATATTTATAGGTGGTAGACCATTAAGGTATATCCCAGTTCAACCTTCAATGAAGTTATAATAAGAGCACAGCAGCCCTGTGTAACCTATCGAATTATTTACAATGGGTTTTATCTCTTATGGCTCGACAACCCCCAAGCATCTCCCAGAAAGGCATGTGCTTGCAGACTGGAGGATGCAGAACATACAACTTTCGGGGCGCGAGGCAACAACAACTTAGTCTCTTAGGACCCATTTCTTCTTCTTCTTCTTCTTTCTCTTCTTCCTCTTCCTCCTCCTCTTCTTCTTCTTCTTCTTTCTCTTCTTTTTTTTTTGGTTTCTTCTTCTTCCTCTTCTTTTCTTCTTCTTCTTCAGTCACGTTCTGCCTTTCAGTGTCAGGTTTCAAAAAGGCATCGGGTGAGAGTCTTTGTGATGTTTGTATTTATGGCCTCGGATATTCCATCTATCCATGACTTGCGTGGGCGGCCTCTGGTTCTGCTTCATTATTACTGACACGGCTTTCTGTGGGGCACTGTCTTATGATAGTCTTGACACATGTCCAAACCATTTGATCTGCTGTCTCTTGGTGTAATCTAATACTGGATCCGTCCTATGTTCTTACCTGATGTGGTCATTTCTGAAGCTGTCTCTTCTAGTCACATTTAGGATTCGCCGTAGACGTCTCATTTCTGATGTTTTGATTTTTCTTTTGCTGTTAATGTCCACGTTTGGCACTGATAACATTTAATTTTTATAAGTGGGTTATCTTCAATATAAACTGCAGTAGAAACTCCGAAGTTATACACTAAACTATGCCTAATATCTCTCAAGTTGGTATAATTTTAATTTGTTTGACAGTCACACATATTCTAACGACAGACGACTTCTAAATGTTGACCACCTCTTAGGTGGTGACAAATTGTAATTTGACAAACAGTAGTAATTTACATTCCATAACTAGACCAGTCGGTGTTAACACTTTCTGTCCAAGTATTATTCACGTTTATCAGTCAGCATGTTATGTATTACACCTTATGTTTAGTGAGCGACTCTGAAGAACTCTGAAAACATCTCTCTCTCTCTCTCTCTCTCTCTCTCTCTCTCTCTCTCTCTCTCTCTCTCTCTCTCTCTCTCTCTCTCTCTCTCTCTTCTCCAAGGGTTGTGCATTTGCCCCTTCTGGAAAGATACTCAGGAGTTTAGTATTGCCATTCTTAACTTCCTTAAAAATTAGCTAGGACTGCAAGAGTTAACCAACGGTATGTATGTGTCCTTTGCTGACTTTAGAAAGCGCAGTGGTTCGGAGTACTCGGAGAAGTGGTTAGACACAGCTACGTTCTACCACTGTCTTAACCAAATAACCACAATTGCAAGATCATAGGTCAGTAATGGGTCTGCTGGGCATTTGCCTGGGGGAGGCCACAGGAGCATAGGGGTCTTACGTTAATCTGTGTATGTCAAGTGACTTGCCATAAATACATATTTAATTTGCGAAAGTGGTTGTGGTAGGGAGCACACTGGTTTGCTCATAATGCTGTTAGACGGCTCTGTCAGTGGCTGCATCATTATTAATTTTTTACGATGCCGAACACTACACGCTTCTGGAGCACGCAGGCCTGCGAGAGGCTCGGAAAGTCCAGGCAGGTTACCATCCACACTTGAAGGTTACAGACGTAGCAAATGAGACATGGCTCATGGCTGTAGTTTTCAGCTTTGAAAGTGCTCAGATGAGAGAAGAGGCATGTGTAGCTGCACCAGACTTAAGGGGATGCGTACAACAGAGTACCATTTGACTACTTTGTGCACATAGTTCTTCATCCAGAAGTATCTCCCTTTACCATCAGTTGGCTAGCTGAGGTTCTGTTCCAGTGACGAGTGGTACCCAGGTGTTGTTGTTTGTCCTCAGTGCTACAGAGCCTGTGTACTGAGCTAAGCTTCTTCGGACTCAGACTTGAGTCAGGATTCTTTCATTTGTTGATGATATTTTGTTGTGTCGACATGGTACTTGTCGACGGGGAAGGATTGGTTGTAGGGGAGGGTGTTTTAGCAGGCTAAGACCATTGACACATTTTTTGGCTAAAACTGGCAGGTTCCAGCACCTGTACTGAAACACGCCCACCTGCAGACAGTGAGGCTCAGAAGCTCCCGCCATTGATCGTGGACTTGATCTACCAGAGGTTAGATTTTGTTAATGTTAACAAGGAGCACCAAACTCACAGAAGAGACTGTTGGTAGTAATTTTCACTAAAATATCCTGTTCAACCCTCAAGGTTATAGCTGGGATATAAAGTGGTCATTGTGTTATCAGAGGAAATAATTGTTATGTTGTATATCAAGAAATAATTCATCAAAGATAATTATGCTATTTATATTATTGTTTGCAATATTGATTGACTGACGTTTTACCCCACTAGGACATCACACCCAACGATAAACACATGGTGACATAAAGTGTCATAATTCTGAGGAGGATCACCCGGGGACAAGCCCGTTCAACCGATACGTTTTGTTATATTATGGGCCCGGCAACAGTCAGGGTTGGGCTTTAAATAACACCCCCCCCCCCCCTAAAAAAAATGCGTCCCACATGGGGAGAGATAGGTCGATCTTGTTTCCAGTATTGCTCTGTTTACATCATTTTGGGTTGTGATTAAGATATAAAATGTACTATAGAAGTTGTTGATGAAAGTTTCAATAATACTTAATAAAATTTAAGAATATGAGTTAAATCTTCTTCTGCTTCTTCTTTACCCCCACCGGCCTAAACTCCGGCCGAAAGTTTTGGTTTTTTCGTCCACTTTAGTCTTGTGCCAAAAACTAGGGTTTTGAGGGCACATCCGTTTTAGAGAACTGAGCAGACTGTTGGTTGCTTGTCTCTTTAGGCAGGTATACTCCTACTTTAAAGGAAACTCCTACTTAGTTGACTCTTACGACATGCTTGTTACGAAGCCAGTAGTCTTATTCCCTCCCACCCCCTCCCCCATCCCCACAATGAGGCCCCCGAACCCACGCGAGGAAGAGCTAAATACATAAAGTTTCCTTTTCGAAGCATTTGGGTTTATTCAGCACACTGGCCTAGAACTACATTTTATAAGTCAATCCGCACTCGGTGGATGATGTGGTCAGCATCACATCGGCCGACTTTACTTCCCAAGTCTTTATGGCACCCATTTAAGGCTAGGTCGACCTGGCTTGGGAGCCAAGGTCATTTTTGAAAACAGTCCGGCTCCGTCAGGACAGTAACACAGGGCCTTCGAATCCGCAGACGAACATCTAGCCGCTACACCTCGGCGGTTTCCAAGAGTTAAATAATTACTAATATGTCTATAGCATGCCCATCTTCACACACACACACACACACACACGCGCGCGCGCACACAAACGCACACAGAGAAAGAGGGAGGGAGAAAGCATATTCTCCTAGAGTTCAACTTTGATCTTTCACCTTTAACCCCAGTCTAGCTTGTGACCAAGACATCCAAGGTTCTTGTAATCGGGGTGTTCTCAGCTTCCAACCGAGCTTACCAAAACATCAACAACAATGTCTACAGGAAAACTGAGTGCCCCGTGCAAAAGTTTACTGTGTAGTGGTAGAATCTTCGCAACCAGCATCACAGTAAGTCATGCAACACTAAGTGCCATGTCTGCTTACCTATGCGTTTATGATTTGTATGTAAATATTGACCAAGACGTGGCAGCGTTTGCAAAATATAAATAAAAATGTAACATGAAACTTTTAGACGCTGATGAATGTACTTATTTGTAGTAATTGATAAATACTGAATTTTTTGGCTCTCCTCCGAACGGCATCATAATATGGCGGCCATAATACGATGCCGTTCGGAGGAGAGCCATTCTGGCCATAAAATATCCAAAAATATCATATTATGGCCGCCATATTATGATGCCGTTCGGAGGAGAACCTAAAAGACAAAAGATTAGTGATTTTTCTTAGGAAGTTGGAGCGCATCTGCCTGAGATTTGAGGAACCCACAGTCTGCATACAAATAAGCAGATCTGTAAAACACTTGTGCACACAAAATTTAAGACTTAAAGTCCAGAAGTGCACGAACAACTAGAACTTAACTTTAATGTTAAGTGATTATAAATATTTTAAATGTGTTTTTCAAATAACTGTGACAGTCACATTCTACAATAGTAATATTTTTTACCAACAATGAGTTGAGCTTAGTTAAAAACCAGCATAAGAGAACTCGGCACTCTTCCGAATAACGGTCCCTTATTATTCAAAGACAAAAATCCCATTCAGGGCCTCAAGAGGTCGTAGTTAGGGACTTGAGAGGTCATATAGTTAAAAATATGGAACAGGAACACTATGAACTATGCTTTCTTTTATTATATAATTTCGTTTGAACAAAATTACCGAGTCTTCGCTAGTATAGTTGATAAGCAGTCTGCTTGTTATGCCGGTGATCGGGGTTTGATTCTCCGGCGGGTAAAAACATTTTTTTTTTTTTTTTCAAAAGGATGGTTTGCACGTTGTGTTGTGGTTAACAACTAGGCTGCGAAATCTGCGCCTTTCGCTCGGTCTAGGGTTTGCAACGGGCTGCGATATCTGCGCTTCGCTCGGTATTGTGGTTAACAGCTAGGTTGAAAGGGTGGTTTTCACGTTGTGTTGTGGTTTACAACCAGGCTGCGATATCTGCGCCTTTCGCTCGGTATTGGGGTTGACAGCTAGGTTGCGATAGCTTGTGGTTAACAGATAGGTTGCGATAGCCGCGGCAAATTTTGTTTTTTGGCTTTTAAAAGGGTGGTTTGCACGTTGTGTTGTGGTTACAACTAGGCTGCGATATTTGCACCAAAACTGATGATGATGGCTTCAAGACACAGCGCTCCGATGGATCGAAAATTATTCCTCCCCACGTCACTTCAGTCGATCGAAAACTATTTCTCCCCACGGCGCTTAACTTTAAACATTGCGCAGAAGTGAAAACTGATGATGGTGGCTTCAATTATGATGATGATGGCCTCAATTATTTCACGGCATTGTTACGTATTGTTCCATATTTTGTTGTTCCTTATTTTGTATAACCTCTTTATAACCCCTTGACCTCTTTGTAACCCTTTGAACCCCGTGAGGCTCTGAAAGAAATGTTTTGGACAGTCAATAATAAGGGGCCGTCCAACGGTAGAGTGCCGAGAACTCTAAGCAATCTCATAAATGCTCTACCCCCATCTTCAGCAGTCATAGCAGAGTTCTGATTTTAATAAAGCATTTGCAGTCCAATTATATGTAATCATCATCAGGTTGCAGCTTTTTTGCAGAGCATCACTCTTATCACGGTCTGCCTGAAAGGAACTCGGTTACTTTTATATTCAAGAAGTCACCTATATCCTGTGCCCATCTTTATGCTGGTCGGCCTCTGCCCCACCTTCCTGGTGCCATGCCATCTGTTATTAATTTTTCCAATCCGCTGTGGCACTTAATATGACCAAAATAGTTCACGTTTTGAGACAAGATGCTGTTTATTAGCAAATCACTATCCATGTTCAGATCTTTTAACTCTTTCAGGCCCATGAATTTTGACAGACTTGGCCCACATTAATTTCTCTTTACAAAAATGGCAGAGCTGTGGGTGTACAAGAAAGGCTGTAGAGATTGTAAAAGACTTCTAATACCCATAAAAGTATATATTTTTTAAAAGAGAAATGAATGTAAATTTTGAAGCTGATGATAAGTATTTGTTTTATTTTGTAATAGTTAGTGGAAAAGAAGAATTCAGCAGGTGTTAATTTCACAAGGACAACATTTCACAAAAAAATTCTTCACTTACCATGGTTTTGCAGCCACAAGAGTAGTAAATATCCAAATTTGAGAACAAAACTTCAAAGTTTTTTCAATTTCCTAACATTTTCTAAAGTTATGATAACTTTCTGGGTTAGTTTATCACTCAGGGGCTCTTAGTTCTCACAGAGTGCTAAGCAAAATTTCAGAGAAAAAATGGCAGAAAAATGAGCCATTACACCCACACTATTTATAATTCACTTTGTAGTTATTTACAGACTGTAGCTGCGATGATTTCAATGTAGCTTAGCCCTAGTATAGTACTGTCTCTTTGTTTAGAGCACTTTCCTTCTCTTACACCATAAATACGGTAGTATGGGACATTGTCTGTGTAATAAACTCATCAGAATCGCTAGATTCCGAACAGCTGATCGCTCAGCTTCACTGGTGAAAATTCACCGTCTGAATCACTTTCCAAAAAACCTAAATTTTTATTATCATTATCACAATTAAAAACATCTGACTGAAACAATTTCAGAGCTTCGGCCGCAGAAAGACGCATTCTGCAACCTGTTCTTGTGGTTAGAACATTGGTATTCATGGCACTCAAAAACGAACTTAGAAAATGAACTGTTAACAAAATTTTGCTGTTTTTTTTTCTCTCAAATTATCCACGTGTGGTTTAGTCCAGGAAATGAAACTAAAAGGATATCGGCGATTAGTTTAATTGTACCTCCAAACATTAGAAACTAGTACGAACGCGGATGTGAAGCAAAATGTAAGGGACACATGACTGACGATGACACTGTTGTTTGAGCAGAATGGAACTTCTCAAACTACGCTAACACCGTAGTTTGGGCCTTAAAGAGTTAAAATGTCAGTGTTTATCTTCTTCTTTGTCCATTGTATTATGAAAATCTTTCTATAGCATTTCAGCTCAAAAGCCCCTATTTTCTTTCTTAAGGACTGGAAGATAGTCTACGACTCACATCCGTATGTTGCCCTATTAAATGTACATCTGATTATTTGCCATTATTATCCAGACGTCAGAAAGCAAGTGCATTTATAAACCAATTGTCACCATTGTTAAGACATGCAAACATAACTGTGAGTGCAAAAGAATACATTTCTAAACAGCATGTTCATACCAATATTTGGCTGCTAGTGCCAAACTTGGACATTATCTAAAGAGCATATATAAGCAGAGACGAATGAGTGAACAATGAAACTGTTAGACAGATAATGGGAAAAACAACTTGTACTAGATTCATTGAGAAATAGCAGATCAAGTGGTTTGGCCATCTCGATAGAATGAAGCAAGATCAGATGCCATCACATACTCTACATCTTAGTTAGGCTAGTGTTCAAACTGCTTGACCAGTTGCTGCACAATACACACATTAATTTTTCAAATTAATATAACCTTTAGGCTATGTATTAATGAAGATGTATTGATGAACTCTTTGAGTCCTTGGTATGTGTTGTCTCATACTGGGGATCCTTAATGTACTTTAGATAACCTGTCTTTGTGTGTGTGTGGATGTCTTGTGGAATTGTAAATTACAGTAGTCTTAAGACAGAAGAAGTTATAGTAGCTATTAGGATAGAATGAGTTAACTAAGTTAAGAATGGGATAGAATAAGTAAAAAAACACACACACACACACATATATATATATATATATATATATATATATATATATATATATATATATATATATATATATATTTTAAAATAAAGAGTAGCCAATGAAATGAGTTCCATGGTACTGAATGAGTTAACGAAGTTATGTGTAGAATACTCTGTGCAATCTTTCTCTGTCAGTTGAGGTGAGGAAGATAATTCTCAAGAGCTATATAGTCCCAATTCTAATGTATGGAAGTAAATCATGGACAGTTAGCTAGTTAGGGAATAATTATATGAAAGCATCAGTGATATGATTTTATAAATAAATAATGCAACCACCCTTGAAAACTGAAAAGAATAATAATGTCTTGAAAGAAATTAACTCATGAAGTGAATTGATTACCGCATCAGAAGGTCACAGTCTATATTATTTGATCATGTCATGGGAAGGATGAAACTAAATTACATTGAGACGATGGGAAGCGAACACAGAGAGAGTGAAGATGCTGGACAGTTGGTCATCATGGCATGGGAGATCATCTGTGTCAGAAATGGTAGAAAATACACAGTTTAGTTGAGTTGAGTCAAGAATTGACATCACAGCACTCGGAGCATTCCCATGTGTGCTCTGTCCTTATCTTCAGCAGCCAGTGCAGAGTTCCAGTACTGATGGTACCGGTCAAAATCTGTTTATATGTCCGTCTTGCCTTTCCTCTAAGTGTAGTGAGCTGGCCAGACCCTCTGCTTACACCCAGGTGCCTCATTCTCTCCAGGCCATAATAATCTTGTTTCTCTATTAATTCCATTGCTTGTTCCCAAAGGGCCTTGACCATATCTGCCTTGTCATGTATCAATTCACCACCCAGTTGTGCAGATCCAGCCAATCTGTTTGCCTGTTCATTACCCATAATGACACAAGACAGAATGCTAGTGATAGACATAACTACCTATGCTATATGACATGGAACGTAAGAAGATAAAGATTTTACGTAAATGGATTCAGATCCTACAGATTTGCAAAATTTATGGTGTGCTTATCTTTAGCTACAATCAATTTGATTAAATTCTGCTTTCTGTTTGTTTCAGAACAAATTTAGTACAGAAAGCAAAGCTTTGCCAACAAAAATCTTTGAAGTGCGAGTTTACAATGGTCATCCTCAAGATTTCAAGAAAGCAGTCAATCTTATAAATGAATATTTGCATTTTCGAATTAAATACTCTAAGCTGTTTGGCTTCTGGACAACGGAGCTTGGGAGTTCTATTTTTCAGATGCTTCACATCTGGGAGTATGGTAAATACAGTCATAATCATCATCATGTGCCCTGCCGATAAGTGTAGGCAGTCATGTTTTGCCACCTCCCATGATCACCAGAATCATGGATCAGATCAGTGCTGTTGTCTTGCCTCCAATGGATACATTGGTCAAGCCATCTAGGCATTTATCTCTTTGTCTTCTTTTTGCTATTTTGCCATCGATTTTGCCAGTTATAACCAAGAAAGCTTAGATTTGTATGCTGAGAGACTTCACACATAGCATACTCAAAAAAGCAGTTAAAACATACCTAACCAAAACATGCCGGATCACCTTCAGGAAGAAAGGAGTAAACCCCCAGCTGTGACCACCAAGACCTAGAATAGAGACATAGTCCCTTGGTGGAACGACCGTTGCACAGAAGCTCAGGAAAACTGGAAAAACACTGGAAAAGTTTGATGCACATAAGAAGAACCAAAGAAATGAAGCCAATCGAATAGTCAAGGAGGCTAAGGAAGCACACTGGAAATTTTTTCTTAAAAAACTGACACCAAACACTTCAGCAAACTAGATCAAATAAAGGCTATTAAAGGAGATAAGATATAGGATTGCCATAATAAAAATACCCACATTAGCAATAACTGATCAAGAGAAAGCAAATGTTTTTGGAAGGTACTTCTGTGAAGTTAGCTCTAATGAGAGATTGGGTGAGGAAGAGAGAGAGGAGGGAGAAGAATTTACAGGTTAAATGGCAAATTACAACATTTAAATATAGTAGAAATACACAGACATGGATATAAAAGTTGGAGACGTTAGAAGTGCTATAAGCGGAAAATCAGCAGGAGCGGACATTCTTAATTGCACAATAATTAAAATGTTACCAGGAAAAACCTTGAAGCAAATTAACAAATTTATTCAATTAGATTTGGAGTAAAGGGAAAATTCCCAGGCAACGGAAACAAGCCACAATTATTCCCATAAGAAAAAAAAAAGGAACCTCAAAAAGTAGACCTGTACAGACCCATTTCATTAACATCCCATCTAGGACAAATCTTAGAAACTATCATAAACAAATTAAAGCCGGGTGAACCTGCGAGCCAAGGTCATATATAAAAAAAAAAAGTTAGGCTCCACCAGGACCTGAATTCATGACCTTTGGATCACGCAAGCGAGCTTCCAGCTGCCACACTGCAACTGCTTCCAAGCCACAAAGTGGCTTAGCATAAATCATTATTATTCAAATTTTCGTTTTAAAATAAATTTTGGATTGCAAAGTTAAATTCTGCTTAATTAATCGGTTTATCAAGTTTAAAGATGAGAGGATTGACTTCATTGCACTAGGGTTTATCCCAGGTGTCCTCTGTTTATCATTAATGTGTTATGGATTACTCTGTTAGAAAATGTTGTCTTGGTAACACAGTGGTTAGTGCTCACTTAACAACATAATGTACGGTTGTCAGTAATTACAATATGCTTGCCCTCTGTTGCTTTGCTTTGACTTTGGCTCTGTAAGACAAATTTAAAAAAAAATCAATTATTTTTAATTGACTGAAAAAAACAATGGACATTTATTTCTTGAATAGTATGTGCAATTAATTGCTTAAATAGGACATGCAATTTATATTTTGAATATGACATGTCCAGTCCCGGCCATTAATGGAGGAGGCTGATATCTATAGTAATGGACCTCGGCTGCTCGAAATACTGAAGAGGAGGAATCTTGTTTAGCTTATCTTGCCAAACAAAAATTGAAAATTATCATGTTAAACCAGCGTCCCCAAATATGGAGCCTTAGGTTATAATTGTGACTAGGTTATGTGCGCCATATAAAATGGCTAAGCACTGCTCGCCACCAAGTAGCCCTGAAAAGGACACTTGCAGTGTTGATGCGATTAAGGGAGACAGACCCAAATACTGTCCCATGATGTCATCTACCCGGCCAGCCTATAGGTGACCTGATCACTGGTAAAGAAAATTGAGTCCCACACTGGGATGGGATCTTATATGAATTTAAAATCTGAAGAGTTGGTAAATTTTACCCCACCAGGACATCACACACCCGGTGACACAAAGTGCCACCATGCGGATGAGGATCACCCATGGAGTGGTCCCAGAAACTGTGTTCAACCCTTAGGCTATATTCATCATCATCAGTTCTCGTTATGCCTAGTGGCACATGAGGCTTCAGAGAGGACTTTCCATGCTTTCCTGTCCTGTGCAATCTTCAGTGCAGTTTTCCATGTCAAAGATGCCGCACTCAGGTCACTTTCCATCGTTCGTCTCCATGTTGTTCTCTTTCCCTCTGGTGTCCATGTGAGAGCTGTTTTGGCAGGTATATCAGAAGTCATTCTCATAACGTGGCCAAGCCATTTCCATCTTCTCTTGGTAATCATACTGTCTAAAGTTTCTTGGTTTGTGGTTTGAAGTAGTTTAGTGTTTGAGATTGTATCTGGCCAGAAAATTTTGATAATTCTACGTAGACATGTGTGGTGGAAGGTGGATAGCTTGTGTGCATCCTTTTTGGTCATTCTCCAGCATTCCGCTCCATAAAGAAGAACTGGCAAAATGATGCTCTTGTAGAGTCGGAGTTTCGTTCCTCTGCAGTAATTGTTGGATTTCCGGATTTGCCTCATCCTTCCAAAAGCAGCTCTAGCTTTGTTCAGACGTGACTGTATGTCTTCCTCTGTCCCTCCCAGTAGGGACACCACACTGCCAAGATATGTGAAATGTTCTACAGTTTCAAGTGATTGGTTACTTATGGTCACTGGTTGTTGGTTCGGACTGTTTGTCATGATCTTAGTTTTCTTTGTATTTATTCTCAGTCCCACCATTTCTGCTGTGCAGTTTAGTCTGTTACTTTTCTCTTGTATATGTTCATGTTTATGTGATAGGAGTGCTATATCATCTGCAAAATCAAGGTCCTCAAGCATGGTGAATGGAGTCCATCGTATGCCTCTTAATGTCCTGTCTACTGTGTTCTTTAGTATCCAATCAATCACAAGGTTGAAGAGGAGAGATGACATAACACATCCCTGTCTTACACCCGTCTTTACTGGGAAAGATGTATTGTAATTTTTTATACTGCAGGAAAAGTCTTTATAGAAGAGAGCAATTATGGTGACTATTTTTTCTGGAATTCCTTAGTGTCGTAAAATTTTCCACAGACCGTCTCTATGGACGCTGTCAAAAGCTTTCTCAAAGTCCACAAAATTAATATATATACTTCTCTGCCATTTGTTGCATTGTTCTAAAATGTTACGTATGGCGAAGATGTGCTCAGTTGTTCCTCTGCCCTTTCTGAATCCTGCTTGTTCCACTCGTAGGCATTTATCTACTCCTTTTTCAAGCCGCATTTTGATGATTTTACAAAAATTTTGCTTGGTACTGAGAGTAGAGAAGGCTAGATTGCAGCATTAAAAAAATGAAAAATTGCATCCAACAAGGGGGATGACAGAGAATTACCTGAAGAAGAGGGGAATATCTCTCCTCTTATATCTATTATCTTTTACCCCACCAGGACATCACACAAGCGATAAACACCCGATGACACAAAGTGCCACCCGTGGAGAGGTCCCGGAAACTGTGTTCAGTCGTCAGACCATATTTATGGCCGTGTTATGTTGCGGCCCCTGGCAAGAGCCAGAGAAAACTTCAAATAATGAAAAATTGCGTCCCACAAAGGGATGACATGAAAATTCACACAATAGAGGGTAATGACTGACTGACTTTCTACCCCACCAGGACATCACACAAGCGATAAACACCCGATGACACAAAGTGCCACCATGTGGATGAGGATCACCGTGGAAAGGTCCCAGAAACCGCATTCAGCCATTAGGCCATATTTATGGCCTGGCTATATTGCGGCCCCTGGCAAGAGCCAGGATGGGGCTTCAAATAACGAAAAATGTCATCCTAAAAAGGACGGTGAATGATTTTAGTAACAGAGGGGAATATGACATGTAATTTATTTGCTTCAATTGTGCATTCAAGTTGTCTGAACATGACGTTAAATTTATTGTTTAAATAGAAAATTAAATTTATTGCTTGATTAGGACATGTAGTTTATTGCTTCAGTAGGACATCTAATTTTTGCTTGCATTTATTCCAGACAGTTTAAATCACAGACTTCAGGCTCGTAAAAATTTGCTGCAAGATAAAGTTTGGCAGACAGAATTTTTGCCTCAGCTACTGCCCTTCATGCAGACAATGGATAATTTTCTTGTGGCACCCATATCTGGATCTACAGTTAATGTTGATTTCAAGAATGATCTGTCAGGTCAGTGGACTGTGTTCTCTTCATGTATTTTCTAGTTGTCCACCACATGGTTCTTTTAGTAAAAAGAGAGGAGATTATTGCCAGATATAATCTTACAGCTGTACTAGATTATCATGGAAAACAGAGAAGATTATTGCCAGAAAGGGTTTAGACACCATATTTGTACTAGATTCAGTTGTTGTGAGGGATTGGTGGATTTCCTTGATGTGGTGGAATGGATCCTGTCCTTCACTGAAGGATACAGAGCAACAACAGCAGCAGAAGAAGAGTATGTCAGCAGTCATCGTCAATCAGCAGGTCCTTACAGAACATTGCTTTCTTCATGGCAAGCTTGAAAGTCTCGCTTTCTGTAGCTAATTTTTCAGCCCTATGTGCTTTCAATGCTTATTCAATGTCTTGTATTCACCTTTGCAGAGGTCGGCCTCTGTCTTGTTTTCTGGAAACTGCACCACAACAGCAATAGTTTACTATAAATTGATTCATGTCTACTGTGACTATGTCTTGCTGCAGTCTCTTCTTGTACTAATTACGTGGATGTGTGCTTTTCATCTTTCCCAGCTGTGTACGAACTCCAGACTTTGAAAAGAAATGGCAAACATTCCGTGCCTGCAAAAAGTTCTGGAAATGGAGACATTCTAGTGGGAACGTTTAGAGGTGTCTTTGGCTCTACGGATACAGGTTTGTTTTTTCTTGTTTTAGTCCACCTTACACATATAATCCAGCACACTAATGTCCTTTTACATGTCATACTTTGTCACTCATCATTATTCAAAGCAATGGGTAAACCATGTTCACCACGGTAAACAAATGCAAGATAAAAAGCATGTTTGTGTCTTCTCTGTTCACACTCATTATATTTATCTTCTTGTCATTCATGGAAATACGAACAGTAATTGTCTGTTGCTATTATCTGTCTTCTGCCAGATACTGCATGTCTAAGTTTCGATTTGAGTTTTGCCTCCGACAGAAAAAATCCATGACCTTCCTGAGGATCTGAATCTGGGTCTCTCACATGAGAGCCCACTGTTGTTAACTCTCTAACCAGCTGCTCCATCCTGTAAATGTTTAATAAATTCATCCGTTGATTGTCTTCTATGGTATTCTGCCAACCCAATGAGAAGCAGCTGGCCAAATGTTTAAGAATGCTGTGCTCTTATGTAAGAGACCCAGGTTTGAATCTTCGGTAAGGTCATGAATTCTTTCTTCTATCAGGGGTAAAAATAAAACCTAACCTGCACAGTCTGTGGCAACAGCACTAGCCATGCGGCCTTAAATCCTCAGGCTAAAAGACCCCTCCATCGACACCCCATACACAGCAAATACAGGTAGTAAGTGGTAGTTTCTTGGCTGTTTCTAATATTGTCAGTCAACATGGTGTATGTAGGTTAGTAATTCAACACTAGTAGAGTTCATTCCTCTCCTGGTGGCCATTACTCAGTAGTGTAACATCACAGATGCAGCTACCAATCTGCACCACGGAGAAGCATGGAAGGCTTGTGTAATCATGGGACAGAATTGTGTTTCTATCTTTCTCTTTTCACCCTCCAAGAAGAGCCAGCTGCCCCCAACAAGGCTGTAAGGCCAGGCACAACATCTTGCAGACCTTAGAAACTCCTGAATACAGAAGTTGGCTTAATGGACAGGCCTCAAACATCAAATCCATTGCATCGAACTAACAGAGGTGAAGGTAGCTAGCTGATTAGAAAAACACCAGAGTGAGGAGGAGACGACGAGGAAATGAGGAGAGAAGAAATAGGAGGAGGGCGGGTGCTAGGAGAACAAGGCGAAAAGCGGAGAGATTGAGCTTTAATCATGAAAGAGTAGGATACTTCAATTGTCGGAGTGCTAGGCAGAGAGGTTCTGTACTGGAGAGGTTGATTTTTGATTTTGATGTCATCATGCTGCAGGAGCTAAATACAGACAGATATCATTGCCCGGGGTACGTCAGTTATATAAACCCTGTTGGACAGGAGAGACATGGACAAGGTCTAGTGGTAAAGGAGGGAGTGAAGCATGTGGTGCCTGACTTGAGCCAGTGGAACCACAGTGGACGAGAGGTTCAAGGGATACAGGTGGAAATTGGTGGCTTAAGTTGGAACCTCATAAATATATATGCCACGGTAGACTGTTTTGTCAGAAGTGAACAATGGAGCTGGCTCAAGGAATTGGACGAGTTACCAGGTGATAGGTTACTCATATGTGGGAATTTCAACGTGAGGAACAGAGAATGGGACAGCAGTGGAGAAAACTGACAGGGAATTGCTCTTGCAGAGGCCATGGTTGACTCCGATATGGTCTGCATCAATGATGGGAGGCCGACTAGAATGGCAATGAGGTCTGGAGATGCAGACACAGCCATTGACTTGACATTTGTCTCTCAGTCGTCGGTTTAAAATGTTAAATGGACTGTCCTGAATGACCATGGGAGTGATCACCTACCATGTTCAGTCTTGATTTCTAAACTCAGTAAGGTTAAGGTTGGGAGAATACGCAAGACCTTCCAGTATAAGTGGACCAACAACCTACTTGGACGCCTCAGACGGGGAGCATGCAACTAAACTGCCAGAACTAATTTTCTACAGCCCCCATGGTGTACTCCAGAAGTAGAACAGGCATGGAAGGCAAAGAGAGCCGCAGTGAAGCAGCTAAAAAAAGTACGACAGACACCCTCAAGCTCACGAGAGGAAGTGGAGATGGCGGAGAATGTGAAAAAAAGATAAGGTAGAGGTTTTCAAGCGCTGTGCTGCAGAGGCGAAAAGAGCAAAGTGGGAAACTTTTGTGAATGACATGGGAGGCGATAAAACATTGGGGAAATTCTGGAAACTGCAAAGGCAGATGCAAAGATAAGATCGGCCTATGATAGTTGGAACAATTTGTAGAGACAATGGTGTACGTGTGACAACAGACAAGGAGAAAGGGGAGGTTTTTCTCCATAGGTTTATAGCTCAGACAGATCATAATGATGTAGACATCAGGGATGCAGTTAGAAAGGAGTTAGCTGGCACCTTGAAGAATAAGCATTATGAAGACATGATACAAGTGGAAGATATCAAACAAATTTTGAAAAAAGCAAAAGACACTGCACCAGGGCCTGATGGTGTCAGGTATGGTCACATGAAGGCTTTGAGCGATGTAGACCTGGCGGAGATGGCCGACTGTTTTAACCAGAGTATTAAGACAGCATCAGTACCGCAAGACTGGGTGCACAGCTATCTAATCCCACTACCAATACCTTTTAAAGATCATTCTAAGCTTAGATGCTTTAGAATCATCACCTTACAAAACACATTTGGGAAGGTCTTGAAGAAGATAGTTGCCGTAAAGTTACAAGAATTTTTGGAAAAGGGGAAGCTTCTCCCAAGAGGTCTGGGAAGTTACAGGCCAGGAAAGGACACTTAGGCAAATGCGGCCACTTTTGCTTTTGACGTCTATGAAGGGTTCCAGAACAGACAGGAAACTATGGCGGTAGGACTGGATCTCGAGGATGCTTATAACAGAGTAAGATATGACATCTTAATGACTGCACTGAGGGAGAAGGAGGTCAATCCATGGCTGGTGAATTGGGTTGCAGCTGTCCTGTATTCACGTCGAGTTGCTCTCCGACTGTGCTCATGGACCTCTGAACCATGCACTTTGGCCCCAGGACTGCCACAGGGATCCGCCATCTCGCCTGTGCTCTTCAACGTGTATACGAGCAAGATTGCAAGCCTAGAAGCACCAGGAGTTGGAAGGATTCTGACTTTTGCGGATTATATACTTGCATATAGGCAGGGGGAAGAGAGGGAACAAACAGCCCGGGAGCTACAAGCGACAGTAGACAAAGTGACTGAGTGGTGTACAGAAAAAAAGGCTGTCGTCCACCCAGAAAAGGCGTCTGTTTTGTGGTGTTCTCTGGACAACAGAATCGTTAAAACTAATGTCCCAAGTCTCACGATAGATGGTAGAGACGTCAACAGAGAGAGCAAACTGAAGTATCTGGGAATTACATTTGACAGGAGCCTGTCATTTAAGGACCATGTGGAGAGTGTTGTGACGAGATGCCAAAAAGGACTTAGTGCACTTGAGACTATGGCTGCAATTGACATAGAGCAGAGAATGCTTTTTCACACTATATCAGCACCTGATCCTGTCAGTGATGGATTATGGCCTGGGACTGCTTACCGTCTCAAAGAGTCAGATGGACAAACTAGAGCGCATACAGAACGTGGCTATGCGGGTCATTCTGGGTTGCATCAGAGACACCCCAGGGGTGTGTATGCGATGTTGCCGACGGTTGCAGGTAGGCACAAGGTGATGCAGGCAAAGTCATATCTCAGGGTAGCTGCAGACACAGACCACCCTCTGCATGAAGCTCTGGGTGCAGTTTAGGGTCAGCGGCTGAAAAGAGGGAGGTCATGGATGGCTCAGGCAGAAGACACAATCAGACAGGTTTGCATCCTTGAGAACATTAGGCGAGGAGAGGAGTGGGTCAAAGTGCCACCTGAGCAGTCAGACTTGTGTAGAGTCATAATCACGCTGAGCCGGGAATGCAGAGACTGGCTAGCAGGTGCCACGGAGGTGGAAATTCAGCAATTAATTCAAGATAATGCTCGCTCAGAGGATTTGATCATTTACACAGACGGTTCAGTGTCAAGAGGCAAAAAGAAGTGCTAGGGGCTTTTTAGCAAAAGTTAATGGTCGACGTTTGGTGCAGGAGAGCCTAGCATATGATACCACAACATCCAGCTTAAGAATGGAGGTGGAGGGGGTCACTGCAGCTTTCCGCTGGCTAGAGAACACGACACACACACACATCATGATTGTAACTGATTCAGAAAGCATGCTGAGGAAGATCAGAACAGGTATGCTTCATGCAGAGTGGCATGCTTCGCTGCGGAATACACGAGTGAGGAGTATTGTCTGGATTTTTTCACCGGGTCACGCCGGTGTTTTGGGAAATGAACAGGCGGACAGATTGGCTGGCTCTGCACAACTTGGTGGAATACTGCTACATGATAGGGCAGACGTGGTTAGTGCCTTGTGGGAGAGCGTGTACAATGCAGAGAAGCAGATGGATCACCACAGTTTGGTGAGATTGATGCAGTTGGGGGTGACGAGAGGTTCTGGCAGAAGCTCAAGGCTCAGAGGAAAGGCAAGACGGACGTTTAATCAGAAAGCTACTGGCACCATTAGTATCGGAACTCTTCACTGGCTGCTGAAGATGGGGACGGAGCGCTTATGGGAATGCCCCGAGTGCTGTGATGTCGGTTCTTGAATCAAATCAAATCAAATCAAATCAAATCATTATCTGTCTTTGTGTATTTTCCTCCTAGATATTTCAAAGTGCTCTTCCTGCCAACTCATTGGATTTTTATCATTCTACAAATAAACCTCAATCTCTAGAGCTTTTTAAAATATTAACTTTGACATTTAAGAGACTTCATTCAAAGGGATTGTGTTACATTTTAACACCTTTTTTGTGAGTCACATGGACAAGGATTTGTTAAAAAGAATATTCTTCGTTGTTTTTGTTTTTGTTTTTTTTCAATCTCTGTTATTCGTCAAGTCAAATAATTCCCTTTACACATCGCTGTTGATTTCTAAGCAAGGGATCAATATTTTAATGGGCAATGGGCTGGAGTTAAATAATCCCCCTTTACACATCATTGTAAGAGATCAAATTGCAAAAGAAGAAAAAAGAAGACTAGTACTGAAACCTGTCATACAGTTCATTAAAGAGCAACAGATGAGATATTTTGGCCATCTGCTGAAAATGCCTTGGTACCACCTGCCACAGAGCCATGCTGAAGAAATATGAGGAACACAGAGTGAGGGTAATACCACACTAAAAATTGAATTCCAGCATCAAGAAGAACACCTTCAAGAAATGAAGATCAGCTTGTGCAGTGCATAAGAAATAGTACATAGAAGATACAAATATCTTCCTCCAACATGCTGCTGAGGCAAGTGGAGGTAGGAGAAGAAGAAGACACATAAATTTCAACAACTTAACAAAGGAATCAGTATTTAGATAAACATGCCCACAGACATGCACATATGCAGACACTCAGGCAGACGCAAACACAGAAACATACACATACAGACACATACAGAAACAAACACACACAGATAAATACACACCGAAATATATGCAAACAGATGCATACATACAGAGACACACACAAACACACACACAGACAGACACACACACACACAGACAGACACACACACAGACACATACACACAGACATAAACCCACAGACACACACACACACAGGCAGACACACACATGGACAGACACACACAGACCTACATTCCTACAGACACGCACATATGCAGATACGTAAATGCAAACACACATATGCAGACACACAGATAAATACACACCAACACATATGCAAACAGACTCATACATATACATATACACAGGGAGACACACACAGACATACACACACAGACATATACACACAGACATAAACCCACAGACATAGGCACACACACACACACACACACATGCAGGCACACACAGAGTCACATGCACACACCCCCGTGTGGGTTCTGGGGCCCCATTATAGGGAAAACAAGAATAGACCCTCTGCCTCCCCAAAAAGCATGTTGTAAGAGTCGACTAACTGGGGGCTTCCTTTGAAGTCGGAGTGCATCTGCCTGAGAGGCAAGGAACCAGCAATCTGCATACAAATAAGTCAGATCTGTAAAACAGATGCACACGCAAAACTCAGGTCCTGGAACAAAGCCAAAGTCCAGAAATGGATGAACAACCAGGTCTTTCCACTGGAGTTTATAGCCGGTGAACGCAAACAATAAACAACAACAACATGCACACACTGACACACACACAGACATACACAGACATATACACACAGACACACACACACATACATATACACACAGATACACACACACAGGCAGACAATTTTGTACAGTTACCCATGCAAACACTCATACATACACCAAATCATACATACACAATAACACCTACACATACATACTACACATTTACATGTCACACATACACACATATATTCATATCATACACACCTTACTTAATTATAAATTGACAATGCAATATGGGCTAATAATTACATTTAAGGTGGCATATAATCACTTGTAATTTTGAACTGAAAAATTTGAGTGAGAGAGAGATAGATAGAGTATCATTCTTAAGCACTCAAAATGTAGAGTGGCTCTGTGGCTGAGAGGTTAGTGAAAAGTTTCACAATGCAGTACTCGATGTTTACCAAGGTCTATTTCTGGCAGTGTGCCAACTAGGAAAAAATACTTTTCTCCTGGCTTTAAAGTGGTGGTATAAAAAAAGTTGCCCTGTGGAAGAAATTGGGGCTTCTTCCTCTTTCACCACTTTGGGTGTCGATGGAGATATAAGGCCCTGCTTCGTGCTCTTCTGGCTCCTTCAGCCATAGACACATCGTGGTGCTATAGTTTCTCTGATGTTATCTGGTGCTATAGTTTCTCTGATGTTATCTTCCCATCTTGTTCTTAGTCGGTGCTTGTCAGACCCACAAATAGAGTGACTTCTCTTGCCATTCATGCCTTGTCATTTCGCAGGTCCTGTCCTATGTTGCGAGGGTGTCATGCTTAGTGACCAGCTAGCAACATGACATTTTTTCTCATTGTTGTCAGCCATCGGCATTATCGCATGTTCTATATTCCACAATGTGAGCGCTCTTAACGGTCTTAAAACATGTAGAACCCCCCTACGCTACAGCCTTAGCCTACATCCCACAAGAGAGTGCAGCCTACGTCCCACGACTGCATGCAGCCTATGACAACAATGCACAAAATATGCCATGTTGCTGAACGCTCACTAAGCCTGACACAACATAAGACTTGAACCTCTTGATCTACCTCTTGATCTACGTCCCTCTCCTCTTTTAGTATTTACCTTGTGTGATCTAGCATCAGAAGGCATTCTCTCCAAGTGAGCAAACCATTTGATTTGCTGTCTTTGTGCATAATATTTCCATTATTACCCGTGGATTACACCGCAGCAAAATTTCACTGTGGAGTTGGCTCAGGGAACAAAGTAACAGACTATTTTCCACTCCTTCAGATATATTGGGCATACAGGGCAAGACCTCTATTTTATAGATAAATTGGCACTCAGTGGCACTACATCATGGTGGCTCCCATCACTTAACACAGCCTGAGCTTATTTGATGTGATTTTGTTAGTGATGCATATTGCTAATAATGCGTTGCAATTAGTTTTCCTCATTTAAGGAAAACAGGTAAGCACACAAAAAAGTAATATAATGGAGCAGAGACTAACAAGCAATATCTTTTTTTTTTTTCATGTACAAAGAGGTTATTACATTATTTACATAAATTTATTGTGCATGAATATTTTGTCTGTCTTTTTTCATAATCACATTTTTCTAATGATCTTACTTGATCATTATTATATTTAAAAAATTTTAATTAAATATGGATTTAATCCACAGAATACAGACTGTGGAGATACCCAAATGTTGATACTGCATTCACTGAATCCTGGAACAGATCTGAGGGTAAGTTTACAAGTGAGAATGTGCTTTCTTTTAAGCGTTGCAAACATCAGTGTTTAGATAACTATTTTCATATTTATCAGTTGGTAATGAGTTAAGGATTTTGGCAAGCTTGGCATCTTTTTCATTTTCTCCAGTACTGTATTGAAAGTATTTGGAGGGATGTAAGATCATCTGTGTTCTTTTGCATTTGTTGCATAAGTCTAAACTTTAAAAAAAAAAGTTAAACAATACATTGGCTCCCTGTTGTTGCAAGCAGCAGTTTAACTGTAATTTGTCTTGGAGGAGTGGACTGCTTGTTTAGGATTAGCAAGTCTCTCTCTTCAGGGATGAAAACAACAAAAACCCACTAGCCTGCTGATGACCCCAGGGGTAGTGAGCGTACTTTGGATCTTTTCTCCAGGCCATGCCGGCGTAGTTGGTAACGAACAGGCAGACAGATTGGCTGGATCTGCACCATTAGGTGGTGAATTGATACATGACAAGGCAGATGTAGTCAGGGCCCTTTGGGAACAAGCAACGGAATCAGTAGAGAAACAAAATTATTATGGCCTGGAGAGAATGAGGCACCTGAGTGTAACTAGAGGGTCTGGCCGGCTTACTACAGATCTGTGGAAGGAGGGATAGAGGAAGACAACGAGAGAAGATGCTTGACAGTCTTGTTGCATGGCATGGAGGTGTGGCGGCACACGAACTGATACACGCTGCAGGAGATTGCAGATTATGGAGAGGCATGATGGCCCACGCCAGTCAGCAAGGCACCTGATGATGATGAACATCAGTATTGGAACTCTGTGCTGGCTGCTGAAGATGAGAACGGAGCACACACATGGGAATGCCTCGAGCGCTGTTATGTCAATTCTTGACTCAACTCAACTTAACTGATGCCACAGAACTCACTAGTCAATCCAACTTCAAAATTTTGTATCCAAGGAAATCACTACCATTTGGCTATGATCTAACAAGGCTTTGGTTTGTTTCAGTGGATGGATTAATTTGTCAGTTTTTTATTAACCTCCACCTGTGACTGGCTTAGCAAGCAGGCAGGAGATTATTCTACAACTTAAAGAAAAAGTATGTATCATCTTTCTGGCAATGTTACAGGGCAGTGCAAATTATGGCAGCTTGAAATTATAAACAGTAATGAATGTGATGAGATTAACATGAAAAAGATCATAGTCAGCAAAGCAAAAAGAAAAATTACCAACACTTATTCAAGACAGTTACTTTATTTATCATCAGGCACTTTTCTTTACAGGAAGCTGCCTCGAACTTCAGCATTTGAAAAATCTGGACCCAAACACTGAAAACTTAAACAATTCAACAATCTGGACCCAAACAATGAAAATATGAAACATTCCTTAATAGCTAACATTAGTTTTTCTGTTAGTTAATTACAGTTCTAACTTCACAGCATAGTATGGTTACCCTAAAATCGCTCTGTTTTTGTGTCAATGAAAATCACATAGAATGCCCATCACTGTCCCTTGGGAACAGACTGAAACAGACTACAGTCTTGGCAAAGCCAATGACATACTCACGCATTAAATGTATAAGGCAGTCATCAGAATTGCCAACACAATCAGTCCATCACCAGAATTGCACTTAATCATCAATTTAGTTTGACTGTTAATACAATAAGCCTATGACAACAAAAACCATGCTAAAGATAGATTGCTCTCAAGAATTACACAGAAGGATTAAACAGTAGAATGTTAAATGTTGAATAAGGAATAAACATCACAGTACTCTGGACACTCTGACAAGCGCTTGGCCCCCATCTTCAGCAGCAAGAGAAGAGTTCCAATTCCAATGATACCAGTAACAGTTTGTTTGTTCATCCGTCTCTCCCTTCACTTGAGTGTTGAACGTCAGCCAGATCCTCTGGTCACTACCCGCAGTGCCATTCTCTTCAGACCGTAATTATCTGTTTGTGCCTCTGCACTGTTCACTCGCTCCCAAAGGGCCTTACAACATCTAGCTTGCAATATATCAATTCATCACCAAATAGTGCAGAATCGGTCATCTATCTGCCTTCTCATTTTCCAAGACACCAGCATGACTTGGAGAAAATATCCAAAGGACACTAACAACCCAGTACCTCTGAAGTGATGCCTGCCACTCTGCACGAAGCATGCCTGTCTCCACCTTTCTCAACTGTGAGTCAGTTACAATCATGGCATGTGTACTGCTGATTCTCAAACCATTGAAAGGCAGCAGTGACTGCCTCCACCTCCATTCTTAAACTAAACATTATGACATCATAAGCCAAACTTTGTTGCACTAAGCCATGTCCATTTGCTATGAACCCCACATGCACTTCTTCTGACCCTGACCCTTAGTACAGAGCGGTCTGTATAGATAATCACATCACCTGCACAGGAATTGTCCTGAATCATTTGTTGAACTTTTGATGTTGTCAGGTGTTCCTAATGTCTGTCCTATACAACATCAGTGTCCTTTCTTCATCTCTTGATTAACCGGAACTTGTATTGTTTTCTCCAGATGCTCTACTTTTGTGACTCTGTAATATCACATTATTACTTGTATTCTGCATAAACAGTAAAGATCCCTTTTCACGCCTTTAGGCGCATCGGCCATGTAGGAAGAGCACCCATATTTTTACAGACCAATCGGTACTAGATGATGGGTAATGTGGTCAGCATTACGCCGGCCGTCTTTACTTTCCCAGGACAGCCATCCTGGTACCCATTTAAGGCTGGGTCGACCTGCTACGCCCCATACCATGATAAAAATCTACGCAGCCAGCAGTGGGTTTCGATTAGGGTACATTGGATTACGAGTTGGACTCGCAACGCCTAAGCCACAGTCGCCACATATTCTACATAGGCACCAGTTTATAAGTGTTAATAGTTTATAAGTAATTACTTTAGTTGGTCTCATGTTTCAGTTCCATACGGCAGTACTGATTTGACATTAGTTTCTAATTTAATAACTACAAATTCTCAGTTACATTGTGTTCTCTCCACAGCTGCGCCTCAGAAAGGAAGCTCTTTGTTGTTATATCCAGCCAAAGTGTCTCCTATTTCATGAACTCACTGACAACATCAGGATGATGTCACAGAGAACATTTCTTCTATGGATAGTCAGAAATAAAATACTCTAAATACTTTTGATTATTTAGTCTGTTCACTGAGTTTATTATGTAGAATTGTAGGAATCATATATAGAAGATGGTAGACCTGACAGAAAGATAGAAACTAGAGTTCAGAAGTCAAATAATGTATGTTAATCCTACTACTGATACACCCAAATGTCTCTCTTCCAGCAAAATAACAAATGATGTAAATAAATGCATCTTTATCCTAACTTGTACATTGTTAAGAATGGATGATGATTATACCGCAAGAATGTAAAATAACTTCCTGTGTACGGCACTGTCAGTGAAAGGTTTCATACAAGACAAGAATGACAGCCTCACAAATAGTAGCATTAGAGAAAAGGTTGGAATGAGAGTGGGCCTGAATTACATTGAAAGACAGAGAATAAAGTGTTTGGGATATCTAAAAAGAATACAGCTAGAAAAGACGGTATATAGGACCGTCGACAGCAGAACATCTGGGCTGAATATGAGAGAAAGACCAAGAAAAATATGGACATAGTATAGATAAAGCCTGCAAAAAAAAAGATGAATAAATCCATCACTCAAATCACTTAAAAGAGCCAGACAAATACAGAAACTCATGACAATGTGCTACAACCTGGTAACAGTGTGACAACAAAAGACAGAAGAAGATTATGTAGAAGTTGCAGTTTTGTATCCTGTGATTCTGTGGTCATGTAAACTATCTTTCTTAAAGATGGCAAGAAAAGTCATGATTCTGCATGTTAAATGAAGGAATAGACTCAACTGACAGGATTGGTGAAAAAAAATAGCAAAGGAAAGGCAAAAAGATAAATACATAGATGGCTTAAACAAATTAATGGGGCAAGACAATATCAATGACCTGATCCGTGATTCTAGTGATCATATTAGATGGCGAAGACTGCATAGACTTATTATTGGCAGATCACCTGATATGAAGATGGCAGTGATGGTGGTAATGGTAATAATGAAGATCATGAGGATGTATTCTTGCATATCAAACAGTAAATAAATAAGGAATGACATATACACACCCGAACCTACCAATCAAATACCTTTCTTGAATGTTTGTGTATTCTAGACAAAGCAATAAGGTCTTACTGTGTTCGTAAATTGTTGCTGTGATTGTTATTCGACATTTGCTTCGTTAATATAAATTTCTGTAACCTATGGTGCCATTTCAATGGGTTAAAATGAATTATGTCCGCATTCCATAGTTGTGGATTTCGAGCTGTACGATAGACATGGCCAATAAGACACCTTTTTTTTGGGGGTGCCTAGTTGACCATGTATCTTAGTGCACTTGTATTCATGGCGAGGCGCAGACGCCGTCTGGAGGTGACAGGTTCAATTCCCGGCACGGTAACTATAGCTTTCGATTTTTATGTTGTCTAGTGTGTTCTTCTATCTTTCTACTTCTTTCTATGAGTGCCGATCAATACACTTTCTGTTACTCGATTAATTCATAATATCAAACAGTACAAATCTTGTCCATGCCCTGCGAAATCCTGTGTTCATACGTGCATGGGCTGCCGAATTATAACTGAAAATCACCTTCGAAAAATAGTGTGTGGCTTTTTGAAGTGGCCCCTTTCCGTTTTTTCAGGTGACAGTGTTATATTGAGCTATGAGGAGGCCGGGGACTCATAGTCCATGGTGATGGCGAGTGCCACTAGCAAGACTCGCCCGCCTTTAAAAGTCTTCCACGATTATAGCATGGGATTTGTTCACAAGTCGAGGGTCGACTGATCCATACAAATATTAATCTAGCATCATACTGGTGTGAAAAGGGTCATTTACTTTACTCACTTAGGTTATTAACTATCTGGAGGCAAGCCAAGCCAACTCACTACCGAGAATCATATGATATCTTGTCATTTCGACAAACAAGAACACTTGCAAAAGTGCGTTTTAGCGTCAACCGGTGTTTAAGGGAATGGCCCGTTGAAATGTGCCCGGTACATTGATAGCTTAGGATTACACTCAAGCCTTAAGAAAATAGGGCCAAAGCGAACACTTGGAGACATAAAATGAGGCTCGTTCGTATCAACAAATCTTTGAAGCGTAAGGTAGAGCCATTGTTTGCGTGTGTATGCAGGACTCCAGCGAATTATAGTTTAGGGTACAACATATAAACATCCAGAGATATGTAGATGACATCGTTTTCTTAGGGAAGTTAGAAAATGATCTGCAGATAAACTTCAGACAAGGTCGCGGGGGGGGGGGGGGGGGGGGGGGGGGGGGGAGACAACTGAATTTTTTTTTCAAGTAGAATGCTTTTGTAGTAAAGGTTGAAGAGAGGATCGACTTCATTGCACCGGGTTTATCCCATAGGGCTCGGCTTATCTCCGCAGAACGACTAGCACAGAGCACGAACTTCGTAGCTCCGGCGACGATCCCCAGGGATTTCCGTAAAAATTGCACTCGTAAACTAAAGTGCCCAGCTGCGAAACGAACCCACGACCTTCAGAGCGCGAGGCAAACGGCCTGACCACTTTGCCACGGAGATCCCCCCACCCCCTGATGGGGCACAAGATGCTGTGTCTTAGGGCCTTACAATCTATAGGAGCTAAAAATTATATTTTGTTTTCCACAAACGCAATTTGCAAATAATTATTTTTAAAAATTTCTTTAAATACAAATTAACCTACCACATATTTGAAAGGCGTATTATATTTTACAGGGTGGTATCCCAAGCGTTCCTAGGTGCCTTGAACACGCGACTATGATTTGGGAGTAGATTCAGAGAGCCAAGCATGAGAGAACCCAATTGCACGTTATATGGTTGGACCTAGCCAACGCCTACGGGACAGTTCCCCGTAGGCTACTGTTTCAGGCCCTTCGCATGTTCCACGTACCGACACAGATCAACGAAATGATCGAGCAATATTTCTCTAAGTTCGCTTTGCGCTTCTCTACCTCGACGTTTACCACGAGATGGACTGAGCTACAAGTTGGGATAGCTATGGGGTGTACGATCTCACCAATACTGTTCGTCATGGCCATGCAGATCATGTTGGACGGGGCGGCCGGCTACGTACAGGGCCTTCAAATTGGGGATCACTGGATGCCTCCACTACGCGCCTTTATGGATGACACGACTATTATCACGGGCAGCGAGGAATCTGCCCGTACGATCTTGGAAAGATTGGACGCGGTGGTCCAATGGAGCGGTATGCAGTTCAAACCGCAGAAGTCGAGGAGTCTGTCAATCCTTAAGGGTCGGGTGGGGGCAACCAGTTTTACGGTGGCAAGGAATAAGATCCCCACGGTTCTGGAGGAACCGGTGAAGAGCCTTGGTCGCGTTTACGATTCGAAGTTATCTGATAGAGCGGAGGTCCGGCGAATACACGAGTCACTGGCTACAGGCCTGCTAGCGATCGAGCGTTGCAGGCTGATCGTGAAGTTCAAGGTCTGGTGTTTCCAATTCATGTTGATTCCAAAGCTCCTCTGGCCGCTGTTAGTCTACGAAGTGACGATGACTGAAGTGGAGGCGATGGAGAACAAAATAAACACAGCCTTAGGAAAGTGGATTGGTGCACTGACGTGGCTCTGTATTGTAAGCAGGCTAAGCTGGTACTCCTTTTCAAATCTATAACCTAAGAGTTTAAAGTCGGCAAAGTAAGACTCGCCATGCTCTTGTCTTCAGACCCAAATGTCATCGCTGTCCAGCCCGCTCTCAAGACTGGTCAGAAGTGGAGAGTCCTCGATGCGATCGAATCTGCTCAGAATGCACTAAAATTGAAGGAAATATTCGGATACACTCAAACCGAGGCCTAGGTCACGGGAGGGTCAATTGGTGGTTCAAAGCCACAGCCAAAGAGCACCGAGACATGGTAATACAACAAGTTAGGGACAACGAAAACGAGGTTCGGGTCCAGAAAGCAGCCCAGCAGTCGCAGCAGGGCCATTGGGTCAGCCTGGAGATCGCATTGCCAAGAGTACTCACTTGGGGTGAGATCTGGCGAATGACCCCACTGCGACTGAGCTTTATCGTTCGTTTGGCGTACGATGTATTACCGTCCGGTGTCAACATGGTTAAGTGGTCTGCGACTAACGATCCGACTTGCCCGCTGTGCAGAGCGAAGCAGACGCTAGAACACGTTCTGTCTGCATGCAGGAAAGCCTAGACCAAGGCCGATACACCTGGCGCCACAACAAGGTGCTAAAAGAGTTAGCAGCCGTTGTGGACCAGGCTAGGATGCGGGCTAACGCGAGAGCCAGTCCAACCGTCGTCCGCATACGCTTCCTCAAGGCTGGGCAAATTCAAAAAGGTAAAATCAACAAAGGCGCATTCGCTCCACCTATGCTAGACTCTGCTAGGGACTGGTTACTGGCGGTTGATCTGCCTGGCCATGAAAGGTACCCTGAGTCAATTCGGAAGACCGGCCTGCGCCTTGACATAGTTCTCCACTCTGCGGAGAAACGGCAGCTCATCCTGGTTAAGCTGACGGTCCCGTATGAGTCGCGAATGGACGAAAGCCATATGTACAAGCTCGAGAAGTACTATGACTTAACAGCCGATCTGAGGAGAGAGACGAGGCATACGCAGTACGTGTCTTTGCCGTCGAAGTGGGAGCGAGAGGTCTCGTTTCCATTTCACTCTACAATGTGGTTAAAGAACTATGATTGCGCGGTAATGAACGCAAACGGACACTTAAACAGATGGGCGAGGTTGCTGAGAGGGCCTCGAGCTGGCTCTGGACGCAACGAAACAACGTAGGGGACGGGCCTCGGTGAGCTGGTCCGGGTGTCTAGCGGGAAAGAATTTCTCATCCCTTGAAAGTCCATCGTGTCCGAATTGTCTGCCAGTGTTCCTCTGCCACCTGCTAACAAAGTCTAACATGTGTCCGGTATACCAATCGTAAGCTTGTCGCTCGGTCGTCCAGGTAAGCAGACTGCTTTAATTATGCTACCGCGACGACTTCTTATCTCACAGTGCCTTCTG